TTCTTTGTCCTCTTCACCTGCATTCTTCCTCCTTTCTTTCTTCTTATGCTGTTATCTAATCCAGGGCTTTGCTCCACTACTGAGTTATATTTCTAACCCTAAAAAGGTATTTGGATATGGTGCAACTCAAAAATAGTTTTAGTTTTATTACTCATCTCTAAGATGAGAGCTTTATCTTTACTCTTTATCTCATTCTGTAGAAGATTCTTTTTTCTGTCTTCCTTATCCTGAAATATAGTGGCAGATCTTCTGAGGTTTTAACTGCTGAAGAAAACGGTAAAACTGTAAGAGTTAGAAAATAGTCTTTCCTTTTGTTGGAAGGGGAAGTCTTTTTCTTTTTTTTTTTTAAATCTATCACTTCCTATGAGCTCTTTCTTTGATTATTTTCTTTTCGCCCCCTCTTCCTCTCTGTATTATTTTCAATACCATGGGCTTAATTCCTCATAGTGTGAATATTTCACTTTTCTGTACGTGAACCTTCTACTGTGGAAGGTGGTCCTCAACCTTTCCAGACCCAATGCCTCCCTTTTTGAACAAATAATTTGTGGTCTTGTTTTTGATATCCTTAAGTAAAATATGTGGATAAAATAATCCACCTAATACAATTAAAGTTTAATATTATGCCCTAATTTTAATATGCAGAAGAAAGAAAGGGGAAGTGGTTCATAATAAAATAGTGTATATTTTAATATTTAAATATTTAGATATGACTGTATAGAGACAGCAAAGTTTCTTTCTACAAGCTTCTCAAATGGTCAGTTTCTGCTGTAGCAGGAAAAAGAAAGCTTTATGAACCCTTTATTGGTCATTTGATGGCTACTTGAAGGGCTTAATTCAGACTTAATCTGTATTTTGGAGAAAACCCAGACTGTCTTCTGTTCTTCAGTTTCTTTTTCAACATAAAAATGATGTATAATTAAAGTACAGTAAACCTGTTCTCCAGGTTGACCTAGAACTCACTTTGTAACTCAAGTTTGCTTCGAACTTGTGATACTCCTTCCTCAACCTCCTCAGTGCTGGGATTGCATGCTTGTTTCATCATGCCTTGCTAATGCATAGATTATAAGTGTTCAGTTTGGTATATGTGATGAGACAGCAGATTTCCATTATGCCAGAAAACACACTTGTATCTCTTCCCAGTTAGTTTCTCTTTCCGACCATTTTCTGATTTTTATTACTGTTGATTAGCTTTGCCTGTTTTGAACTTCACATATGTTGACTCATCCAGTATGTGTTCTTTTTGAGGGTGGGAATGAGCAGTCTGACTCCTTAACATGTCTTTGAGATTTATCCTATATTTTTAGTTTGTTCTTGTTTCTTACTAATGTGACTTTGCCATAATTTGCGTACTCATTTTTCTTTTGGATTGGTTTCCAGGTTGGTTTTGGTTTGGGGCTCTCAGGGATTAAGGTTATTCATATACAAATGTTTTTATAGGCTTATTTTTTTTTTTTTTGGAAAGTGGAGTGAAATTACTGATAATAGGTTAGATACACGTTTAATTTATGAGAAGCTACTAAACAGTTTACCTAGTCCTATACTGTTTTACATTCATACCCAGTAATGTATAAGAATTCTGCTTGTTCAGCATCCTTGACAACATTTTGTGTTGTCAATTAGTTTGATTTTAGCTATTGGTTTTTAAAGTTTTTTGAGATTGGTCTCACTATGTAATCACTGTTGGCCTTGAACTCATGATTCTACTGCTTCCCAAGTGCTGAGATTATATGTACCTGCCATGCTTCACTTTGGTTTTAGCCATGCTTATTGTTCTTAATTGTGGTTTTAATTTGCATTTTCCTAATAACTAAGATTTAGCATCTGTATATGTGCATGTTAATATCTAGCTTTTATGAAGTGTCTGTTTAAATCTTACTCTTATCTTTAAAAAATTGGCCTCTTTATGTTTTTTCTTATAGTACTATTCATGTTATAGATTTTTTAGGGCTTACTGTGGGCTAAATAATAAATAGAAATAATAGCTGGTGTTTTTGATTTTTTTTCTTAGACATCTAAAACCCACTTTGGATATGAATAATTTTACCAATAACTTTTTAGTCCTTAACATTGTTTAGAATCTTTTGTTTTACTTAAAGACAGTGTATAGCTTCAGTTTTTAATGGAACCTTTATATTGTTATACTGTATCATTTTCTAGTCTTCAGCCTCGTTGTGGTTGGC